CACCCGTCGCACAGCTTATTTGGTAAAATGAACATTTATAATTTCTTAAAGGCACAACCCAGGCAGAGGTCGTGTGAACGCTTCTCTTCGGTCAGAAGTATAGAACCCTAGGGGACAATCACAAATGTGGCGTTCACGTGCACGGAACCGACCGACAAGAGCGCTTGGGCCTTGCAAAGTAAGCTGCTCAAGCTGCAGCGAACTTTTCTCTTATCAGGCTGTTGTCTGGCGCTCTCTCATCTGTAGCGCTCTCTCGCCTCATACTCTCCTCTCCGCGCTTAGTCTCTCATTCCCTTAGCACAGCCGATTAGGAAGGTGAGTGAGCCCTTAACCTAAGCGTTTTCGACGGATTCTTTTCCTTTTTTCTTCACTGCCGGCCCATTTCGCACCGATACATTCACATTCGTGTGCAAGAGCCACACCAATGTGATCCTGGGGCATGCCTTTAACGTTTTTCCTCAGACCTAAAGGCACGGGTCACTATTAGATCATTAAGGAATAGTTTCCGTGAATGCGGCAGTTCCCTAAGCACAGGAGTTGAAATTGCGCGGTTACAGATGGCAAGTCCCGCCTGGCCGGCTGCGACCGCTGCCATTTTTGCTCTTTGACGCTATACGTGATGTCTGCGCTTCCACGTGTAACTAGTTCTTTCTCGTATTCTTGTCGCGCTCTGTTATTTCTCTTAATTTTTGAGTCGACCGATGTCTAACAGCTAATATTGAGAGAAACATGGGCCAGTGTCTAATCATCTTCAATAGAGAAGTCCTGAACAATATTTCATCAGCAGTTACCCGTGAATTGAAAGAGCGTGCGTTTGCCGATCGTGTGGTGAATGTTTTGTGCAGCCTCCAGACTCTCCTTAAAGGCGAGCCCCGGGTAAGCCGACTTGTGGGAAAGGATATTATAGCCGAAGACTGAAAAATTGTAAGGCTGCTCTACCTATCTAGATCACTCCGGCTTACGGCACAAAAGGTGTTAGCGGTGAGGGCATAATTTATTCAGAGCCGAACATTATCGACCTTTGCAACGCTATCCACCATCTCAATGTGCTCTAAACATTACGAACACGGAACAGTGACCATCCGCGTAGTTTTGTACTCTGTTTAAACGCCCTACACTACGCTATCGTTACATCCGACTATTTTGAAGATTTAGTCTTACTTCAAGCATCCCAGGACTTTCTCATAGCTTTCCTTTCACTTTCAGGCGTCCGACAGTCAGTGATGCACTACGAAGTGCTCTTACACATACAGTTATATCTCGTTGAAATGCAATATCAGAACAAGGTTACTCATCATGTTGGCTCAAGAAGTTGATTTAATGAAAAGATATGTGTGGCCAAATTAATATTATATGTAAACTGTGATGCCAATCGAAAGTGATAAACTCGAAATTCTGGACATATTTTTCGGAGGAATTTTTCAAATGTTTATCGAAAAGTAAAAGAGAGCGTGGGAATGAACGAGGTAGTGTGCAAACGACTGGACTCTCCCGCGTAAAGGGATGGCATGTCCAGCTCATTACATGGAAACTTCCGAATTGGAGGCAGAATGTGGGGTGAACAATAGAGCACTTCAAAACGCGGATTAAAATAAAATTGAAACTACAACTGAACAAAAGGAATTGGAAAAAGAAAGTTAGTGAGCAGTCCAGTGTGAAAGGAAAAGCATTCACATATGAACGTGCTAGCTTTCGGGACTTATCAGAAAAGTACAGAAAGATGGAGCAAAGTTGGTGCCTACTCTTATACACGAGACAGAACAGGTACAAAAGTGCATGTTCTTGCCTTGTAGCTGGCATTTGTTCCGGGAGAGCACTTAACAAAATGCTCCTGACGACTTTGAATGCCCTGGACAGGATACCACGATTGTCATCGTGAAACGCTTCAAGTTTCCAACCAAGCTTTTAACTGCTCAAACCTATACTTGGAGATTCAATTTTACATTTTATTTTCAACAATTTGAAAGTCGATGTATCGCAAAGCCTATCAAATATGTATATGATTGGGGCGTCTCTTGTAAAGTTCCATGCGAAGAATGAATGCCTTTTACCAGGTAGGGGGGTGGGTATATAGGTAAAAGGTAAGTCTTTTTCATTGTATTGACACATAGGTTACGGTGATAGATCGACACGTTTTGTTTGAAGAAAGTGACGGAAGTAGTCGGCAAACCATTTGTGCACTGTCCATCTGAAAGCGACTGTTTAATTAGAATATCTAAGGCTTCGGTTTTAGCCGTTTCAAACCAATACTGGAATGATCCACCGCAAAAGGTCAAGGAAATGTGCATACCCAAAGCAGATTTTTCGATGGAAATGCAGCCCATCAGAGGTCTAGGTTGGGGTGGTCAGTGGTGCACGGATGAAGGAAACAAAAACATGAAAAATGCTTTTGAACTCGAGAAATAAGACCACGTTTACGCCCCCCGATATCCACATTGATGTGCGTCTCATCACCAACGTGAACGCTCTGCTCTGCTTCGCTGCTGAACGGGTAGTGTCCAAGGCTATATTCTGACGGCAAGGGGCACTCCATTGAAAGGTAGGCAACGTCGCGAGCGTCGCTGATGTCGCTGCTAGGCGCTAGGGGCCTATCCTTTGCTTGAAACGCGCATCTTTCAGCACTTTCGGAAAGATGCCTTTCTTTCCTCTGAATCCCTTCTTCTACCCAAGACCTTATCCTGGGACCCTCCTGTGAGGGACGAACAAACTTCACGCAGAGATTGCCAAATTCAGTCAAAACTGAACACCGGCTAGCCGTGTGAGGTAATGAGCAAATGCCGCACCAACTGCGGATTCTTTGACGAACCTAACGCTCTCAGTACTGCGATTCAGCAGTTTTACAAAGCGGCATCGTAAAGCGCAGAAGGAATAAGGGGTACTATTAAACTATTACAACCGCTAACCTTTCCCTGTTTGGAACTCAGCTGTGTTCACAACAATTCTACTTACAAAACTCGAATGGTGTAGAAGAATGCGCAGAATAATGCGATTTCAACAGAGAACAATAAAATTATCTACCACGCTGACCTCGGTGTACCATTTCTAGAACGTGCTAACACTCACCGTTGAACCCATTCACTAGCATATCCGCCACGTTTTGGCGAGTTCCTATCGTAATAATACCAGGCGGCATAGAGTAGTAAAATATGCCATTGAAAGGTGAAGAACTGGAAGAAGAAATACCTCAGTGCCATCGAATTCAATCTCATGTGCATACATTCATCTACTGAGAAATTAATGACACCTATGTGATCAGTAATAAATCTGAAATGCGCAGTTCAATGAGTAATAGCGCCTATGATCCATCTTTTTTGGAACGTCCCATGTATTCTACGCGTATTTACACTCGTAGTGGAAATTTGAATGTAATTTATTCTTAGCAATAAATTGTGGGGGCCAATCAATGCATAATACAAACCAGCGTTTTTTCGGGTACCCGACAGAGAGGCTCGTCGCGCGGCAAGTAAGCGTGGTCGGCGGACGGCGTCGCGCGCTTGCTGTACGATAGACGTACAATGGTTCATTCTATTTAATTCTATTTAACTGGCACGAAATCAGTTCAGTACGTGCTACGACTTATCCACTGAATCTGCCTTCTTGTCGGGACACGTTTTTGTCTTCGAGATGAGATTAGTACGAGATAGTATTAGGTTGTCCAGAGAGTAATGCCATTTTTGACTCCTCTCTTGTTTATAAAAGGATTTATCTCAGCTTTTGGGAACACAGCAATTGATCGAAATATACACCAATGGAGTGTACACATCCTCAAGCTATTTTTGTAGCAGTTCACCAAATCTGGAATTGTATTCAAAAACCAATGAAAAAGAAAGCAGCAAAGCTTCTTGGTTTGGTGTCTCCAATTCTAAGCTAAAAATACTGCCAAAAAAGTCAAGCAATGCTGATATTAAGACACACTGCCTGAGAAAGGCGCGAAAAGATATAGAGCCTTCCTGAACATATGTAACAACATCGACGCCAACGAGCCTGTTGCATAAATTTGCTCAGAAGAATCAGAGCCGCAAAAGTGACATTATTTTCTCGACAACTTAATGGATATCAAAATGAACCAGTTGTGCCTGGGCGGGATTCGACCTCCGGACCAAGCCTGCGATACTGGCGCTACATCATCACCAGCTATTATGGTGGATTATCGCACCAATTCCGAAGGTAGGCCATAAATTGCCAAAGAAAGAACGCCACTTTGTTACCAGGGTTTAACGAGGTTCTTCACTTGGCAGATACATGATTAGTTTTTCTCTAGGAGAATGACAGAACTCCTTACTAGGCTTCCCTAACGTACTAAACGTCCCTGCAAGTTCAGAGATCTACTTTGTTAGTAGATCTCTGAACTTGCAGGGAAACTTAACTAACTCGTTCTTACCAAAATAAATGGCATCAGTAGGCATATGATTGACAGTGGGTAGGTGATCCAAAAGTGATGAAGAACACCGAGCACGAGCTTCTGCTTTTGCCATGGCTCGTGTAAGGCGTGAAATCAATTCCCAGTACCATGGCTTTGGAGTAATTACCAATGTGAAAAACAAATTCTGCAATGAAAACTTCAAAATTCGCTGAATTGAAGATGTCCATGGAAATTGATGACTTGATGATTTTTATGGAAATTGATGAATTGATATGTCTACGGGAATTGATGAATGGATCAGGTCTATTGGATAATGTTCATGCCTTCACTTGCTGCCCCTACAGAAGTAATGCTGAAGGCAACCGACCAGGGAGTGTTCCAAATTCCCATGGAACTTTGAATTGAGATCTAGGTAAGTCGATAGAGCATGGGGTGATGGTTACAAATGTGAAGACCAAAACTGCTACGTGAACCTGTCAAGGAAGTTGTTAGCGATCAAAGTGGTCCCAAGTTCGATTCCCGTGGTGACAAAATTTTGCATTCTAGGTTGGCGCTTTTAGATTGTGCCAAATGGCGTCTGCGCCAAGAACAGTGGATGCCATCTTCGCTATTAGGGCCATCAGAATTTTTGCGATTAGGCTTTTGTCAAATAATGCAATTAGACCAACGTTACATTTGAAGCCAACTTTGACCCATAACCAACATTCCAGCTTCTATCGATTTACCTAGGTTTCATTCAAAGTTGCATGGGAACTTGAAACACTTTCCGGAAGAGAGACAGTTACAGTGGTACTAATCCCAAAATAGAGGGTAACATTCAAAAACTGAGGAGCCTAGAAGAGGAGCGAGAAATCACCAGTGGTAATAC